AGCCTTTGAGTCATCAATAATCTAATTTCGAAATAATGTCTGGCTAAATCATAATATTTCTTTAAACTTGTTTTCCAAAATATACTCATTTGATATAAGATAAAAACTATCATCTTATAATTTTAATTAACGTGATATATATATATATATATATAATATTAATAATCAAAATAAACATATTAAAGTAAAGAAGCAACAACGTGTAATTTAGTGGTAAGAGAAAACTGAAGTGATACAGCTTTTCGTACAGTATAAGACCCTAGTAAGAAGATAACATTTAAATATATGAAATAGTAAAAGTTCACATAAGTAGCCAATACTTTCAGAGCACTTAGAGTATAAATTTTCAATGTAATATATAGGGAAATGCGTAATAAGTCAACACACTGAAATGCATATTTGTAATAGTCACAATAAATGTTACACAACACTATTATTGTCATTTCGTTGACCTTCAGATATGTCAAATATTTCTACTGATGCATAAACATTGACAGCCTCTCCTGCAAGAAGTGTTTAGAAAAGTTATGATTAGGTTTTATTTATTTCATAGAAAAAATTAGATGTCCTAAACATAAATTTTATTTTACATGTTTTGCTTCCATTTCGAAAGCTTGGTGTGTTTTATTATAATTGCTTTCAGATAGAATTTAAACGCGACTAATGTACATAATATAAAAAAGTTGGGTACGTTATATTAAAAAGATTTTTGAGTATACAACTCAGCAAGTCGCGTGACAATCACAGTCGATGTAAAGTCATGGTGGGGCTACACTGTGACATTGTTTGGAATTTTGTAGGTATCATAATGCCATTGAAAACTGATCGCTTTTGGGAATGATATATGTCACAGCCCTTTCAGACATAAGATATTCCATACACTCAAATCATAAAGATGGGGATATCTCTTATACTTAATAGCAATGGAAAACAAAAGAACATAGATCAAATGAGATCACCACGACCATCCAAAAAGAGCCTGAAACAAGTCGGACCCTAGATGTGTTAAGCAAAATGTGGCGTCTTGTAACAGGTGAGAATCTACGAACGCAAACGTTATTGTTAAAAACCGTCCACGTTTCCCGGGCGAAAATAGGCAAGATAATCAAGAAGTATCTCCGTCTAGAAAAACCCCACAAGTCACGTGTACAGAAGTTTCTTCCATGACATATTAGTTCGGCCATCGCACATCTCAAGCAGCTGGAGAGGGAACGTGTATTCACGATATTCCATAAGAAGACATACCTGTCAAGTCGCCAAATGCAGTGCCTGTGGATCTGAGTGCGATCGAACTGTGGAAACGGGCACTAGGAAACCGTCTCCCTCGTACACTAGATGGATTATGGAAAGTTGTTGTTGTTTGTTATTAAGCTACACAAAGGGCTATCTGTGCTCTTCTCACCACGGGTATCGAAACCCGGTTTCTAGCAGTAAAGTCCGCAGACATACCGCTGTGCCACTGGGGAGTGGATTATGGAAAGATTACAGGAAGTAGTGATATACTTTTGGCATGGCAGCCTTATGATATAACATTTTTGCAATGGAAGCTGCAGGAATATTGTCAAGATGAAAAGCCGTCAGACAGAGCATGACAGGAAGTGGCGACA